AACTCTCTGCAAAAAGTTCATCTATACCCATAATCACATACCAAATGAGTACGTATCTTTAGCCCTGACTCCAGGAAAAACAACTTACAAAATGTCCCCTCCTCAAGGAAACCTTCCTTGATTTCTCCATCAGGGAATATTGACTCCTTCTGAAGTCCTAGTACTATACCTGAACCTGTCCTGTGGCATTCAATACTTCATATCTTAAGTATTGAAGTGCTGATGGACTTGTCTTCGCTCCTCGCAGAGCTCTACCCAGTTCTTCTTAGAATCCCTTACATCATCTTTCCATAGCAGATGCAAAGCATTTATAGAATCTAAAATTTATGAATGAATATCCATGGGAGGGTGGCTCAGAAGATCAAAAGATTAAAACTGGAAATGAACAGCCTGCAGTCCACTACAATGACCAGTAGCCACACGTGGCTATTTACTGTATGGCAATTTGGTTTGAGCCTCTTCACTGAACGCCACTTAGTCTGGGTGTGCATATCTGACCTTCTCTATGAGACTCAGTAGTTTCGTCTCTATTTTCCTTAATACCCAGCTCAACATCCTACAGATAGCAGGAGTACAATGCAGACTTTGTAACATGACAAGACAGATTTCACTCTTGACCAGATGGTGCCCCCAGCCCAACCCTAGCATTTACACTAATTAAATCATCATAATACGAAAATACCTGCCAGACGTGTTTCATGCCAGCACTGTGTAATATATAGATGTAATGTAAAGCGAATAGTAATTTTATGGTTTCTACTAGCCAGATTTTAAAAGGTTAAAAGAGATGAAATTAATTTTAATCATACGTTTCATTTTAACCCAATACATCCAAACTAGTGTCTTTTCAATATGCAACCAACATAAGTTTATTGATGAGACACTTTACATTTTGTGTGCTGTCATTGAAATCGAATGTGGATTTTAGCATCTACCACATATTTCAATTTAGATTAGCCATATTTCAAGTACTCCATAGGCACATGTAGTTAGTGGCCACTGTATTGGACAGTGCAGTTTTATACAGAATTTTATTAAACCCTGTAAGAGGCAAAACAATAATAGCAATATTTTGAGTGGCAAGCATTTTAGAAGGATCATCTCATCTAATCCTGATAACAACCCTCATCTCTGGATGAGGAAATATAGACACAGAAATGGTTAGTGACTTACCCTCAATCATACTGCTAGTATGTGGCTAAGTTGGGTCTTGAATTCAGGTAATTTAAAGCTACCACCTAGTGCCACAGATTAATTGGGTGGTCTTGAGCAAGTCACTTCTCTGTATTTTAGTTTCCTCATCCACAAAGTAGAAAGAGGCGTGGAGTGGATTATCCAGAATGGATGCTGCACACTTTAATTTTCCTCTTTATTTCCTAGTTTCTGGCAAGCCTGGCTTTCCTGTTCCCACCCATGAGAACCTCAGATTTACACCATTCCTTCTCTCATTTGCACCGAGGGCTCTGCTATGCTGGACTCTCCTGGTTGGGGCTGCCCTGACCACATACACACTGTGCAGCAGGATGGAGCCCCTCCCATGTGGTACTGCATTTTCATCTGAGCTTTTATATTTTCAGCATAGAGTCCAGCTTCCACTTCGTGATGCTTTTTTGAAGGAAAGGAAACTTGACTGGGTGCTATCTTTTACTTTTCTGTCTTCTTTGTTCTTAGGCATGTTGTAGAGAGCTTCCCTCTCCCAAGAAAATTCTACTATACATTTCCATAATTTTTCTTCTCTCCATCTCCAAGAAATGCAAAGAAAATAACTGTCAACTTTTTTTTGCATATATAAATTTTAACAGCCCGTGCATGTCAACTAATCTTTTATCCCGAAAGGAAAGGTTTATTTCAAGTGATTGAAAGCTGAAATGCTTAGGTGTTCATTCTTGTTGTGTGATGGAATCACTGTGTGAATATGCTACCTTATGATTAGTTCATCAATTCTATTCCCCAAACTCACTAACTCTAATGAGTGCCTACTGTGTGCAAGGCCAGAACCCATGTTCTCAAGGCATGCATCTTCCATCAGGGAGGGTAAGGCAGATGTTCAATCAACCATGGCACGGAGTGGAGTATACCAAATGCTTTAAGAGTGATGCAGAGTGTGAAGACAGTTTAAATATTTCCTTTGGTGTAAATCAGGGAAGGTTCCACAGGGAAGTTGCCTTCTAGAGTGGAACTTGAAGGAAAAGCAGAGAAGTCAGGAAGGGCGTTTCAGGGGGAAGAGGCATAGGCACCTGTCCCTTATCCTGTATCCTGGACTACAAGGAGGAGGAGCAGGGATCAGCATGTGGCCTGGTTTGATTGCAGGGATTACGTAAGGATGGAATGCAGTTTGGCAAACTCCTGGCGTGAGTGTCACGCTCCCCATCCTCCACCCATGGGAGACAGCACTAGTCAATCACACTCCACACCTTCCCAGCCAACCTCAGGAGTCCCTTCAGGAGATGAGGTTGATTTGCCATCCCTGGAGCAGGAGTGCAGCAGCAAGTAAGGTAGAGCCTTGAATACCACGTTGACTAGTTAGTAAGATAATTGGATAGGCAATGGGGAGCCATTAAAGTCTTGTAAGCAGGGGAGTGACATGGTGGGAAATGAGAGCTGTAGTTCAGGGTAATTAACTTGGCAGAGCTCTCTGGGATGGATTAGAATGGTGGTAAGACAGAAGGCCAGTTATTTGGAAGGTTACTGGCATGGTTTAGGCAAGCAATAATGTCTGGAACTGGCATGGTGGCCACAGAAAGGAGGGGCAGATGTTATAGAGATAGATGTTCAAGCACCTGACAAATATGTAAGGATGTGAGGAGTTAGGGGCAGGAGTGAGAGAGAAGAGTTAAAACTGACTCTGAGGTTCCCAATAATTACCTTGGGGTAAGAAAAAAGTAGTGTTAGCATTAAGAGAGGAGCCTGGCACCTGTAAGGAGGTAGGGAGAGTCCTGGTGAATTTGGGGAGGGAGAGAGAAGTTGTAAAAAACGAATTCAGGCATATTTGTTCTAGAAAGCATAGTTTTTTTAAAAAAAGCCGTTGTCTGTCAGATAACTCAGTAGTACAAAGTGAAAGAACCATTTCTAGGTAAACACTGTTGGTCTTTGTCAGTGTGCAGAGTCTAAGGAAGGCTCCCGTCTTTCCAAATATTTGGAAAATTGGAAAGCCTTAATTAGTAATCAGAGTAGGGGCAGGAGCGAAAGAAAGAAATATAAACCTAATCACTGTGCTTTTCAGGTTTCAAATGCTTCCACAATCCAGGTAATTTACAGTTTAGTAACAATGATTGACAGTCTGGGAATGTATCTAACTCACTTTTATTTTTCCCTTGGGGAAAGCACTTGAGTTCCCAATTGTTTTAAATTGCAGAAGCAGTAATTGTTTGAGAGAGTTAGGAGAAATAGCTTTTTGGACCTGAAATTTACTGCTGAAGGGACTATGGATTTTACCTTAATTGACTAGGGTCAAGGGGCCATTTTCAGGAAGGTCTTTCCAGGGTGAGCAAATACCAGTTTAGGAACCAATTGAAGGCCCAGGGGAATAGACTTAACCAAAAAAATGTTAACAAGTGGCTACTGGTACCTAAAAAGGAGATATTTTTAAGCCACTTGCATTCCAAATTATTGGTGAAATTTAATATGAGAAGTATTTTTTAAATATTCTAAAGTAAATATGAGGCAGTGGATGTATTTTGAGACACCCATGGTCCCACAGGAACTTACTAAACTGTGCACTTTGATATATGTGTTTACTTAGAAAAGTTAAGTGTGACAAGCTAGGTCAATTGTATGGAGAACATTAACAGACTAACCAATTGCAAATGGTGTGAAGGCTGCTCTGCAAAGTCTGTGCTCGAATGTATAGGGACATGCACACATCTGATTTGGGATGGAGGAGACAATCATGGCATTGTTCACAGGTGCTGACAGATAGGCTAACGCCAGGGATCCTTGCAGAGACTGGATTAAGGTACCAGGACTGTTCACATCTCATTTACATCACTCCCAAGAGTGGACCACAGGTTTTGCTGATTAACACACAGACCATGGCAAATAGCATTGTGTATTTAAAATCAGACCAACATCAGTAACAGTAACACAAACCACATGTGAAGTTGGCATGCGGCGGTCCTTCTTAAGCTATTATCTACCCAGGTTTTCCCTTCTTATTTTTAAAATGCATTTTTCCAAACCAGGAAGTTAGCAAATGCAAAATGTGCCCCAATTATCACCCCCTAAATTTACATATTTATGCCACCTTCAGTATATAATAATGTTTTTATTGTCAAAATTTGTGAGCGAGCAAGCGAGCCTTCTGAAAGGAAGGTGGGGAGTATGTGTTTAAAATGTACTGATTTCACCTGTGTCTCTGCAGGCAAAAGGAAAAAGTGGATTGAGTATTGATGCAGAGAAATCAGGCTACTACCACCTGAATGTTTTTCACTCATCCAATTAGTATCGTTCCTTCATATTGGAGTTGGGGGAAGTCAAACAAGCACTGATGCAATTCTCCATTTTCCTTGAGTTTTATTAAACTCACTGTGTTTCAATAAAAGGTGGGTATAGAGTGATGCCTGCAATGATGTGACTTATTAGGTGCCGTTAAATATCTGAATTTTATTACCCGGATGTTATTAATTCTTCTCCAGCATACATTTTATAGATGAAACTGTACAATTAATAGCAAAAGGAACAGCAGACAGTTAGCAGCCTCGCATGAACAGGATGCATCCCGCTTAGATAGTCACGGACCAAACAGGCCAAAGTTTTCTTCAATAGAAATTGCCCTGCCAAGTGTTTCTGGACCCTTCGCGGAGGAAACAGCAAAGGAGCCCCAAGAGATCTTTTGCAACCACACCAGAAGCTGGCCATCCATGAGATTCTAAACTCACAAAATCTACTTTAGCCACGCATGTATCAAACCCAGGTTGGAAACCCACTGGACTTCCCATCAGAAGTCGGAAGTGCCCGGTCATCCCATCCTTTGCATTCCTTGGGGTGTCAATTCCAGGTCTAATTCCTTTTAAGTTTCTCCTCAGTCCTGGCCTGGGCTGGGCTGCAGGAAGCTACTGGCGGTTCCCCAATGTGGATAATCAGATCTGTCTCTACCCGGGCTGATGCGGGTGGGGACGAGCTCAGTGCCCCAGAGTCTCAGAAGTAGGCACAGAATCATCTCGCCGGTCTTAATTTCTGTCCCTGGACTGGGGAGAGCGGAGGACAGGGGCACGAGAGGCTCTCCTCTCCTCCTCCCCTTTCCTCCACCTCCCAAAATTGGCAGCCAGTCCGTGGCTCCCGGTCTGGGGTCTGGAGGGTGGGGAATGTGGGTGTGGGGGCCGGCTGGAGAAGCTCTCGCTAGCGCTGCCTGTGGCCAGACCCGCCTCCCGTCCCCTCTCGGGCGCACACACACGTCCACCCAGACACACTCCGCGCTCCCTCGCGCTCTTCCTCGCCCGCCCGCTGCTGCTAGCTCTCTCCCTCCAGCTCTCCCGGTCTCCTTCTCCTTTTTTTTTTTTTTTTTTTTTTTTTGGTACCATAGAGTTGCTCTGAAAACAGAAGATAGAGGGAGTCTCGGAGCTCGCCATCTCCAGCGATCTCTACATTGGGAAAAAACATGGAGTCAGCTCCAGCAGCCCCCGACCCCGCCGCCAGCGAGCCGGGCAGCAGCGGCGCGGACGCGGCCGCCGGCTCCAGGGAGACCCCGCTGAACCAGGATTCCGCCCGCAAGAGCGAGCCGCCCGCCCCGGTGCGCAGACAGAGCTATTCCAGCGCCAGCAGAGGTAGGAGGCTGCGAGAGGGGTGAGGAGGGGGCGGCGGGAGCCGGGGCTCGGAGCAGGGGGCGACCGGGAGCGGGCGCCCGGGGCGCGGGGTCCGGAGCTGCGCGCGAGCCTGCAGCGGCGCCCCGAGCCCGGAGCACCCCGCTCCCCTCCCCCCTTGGCCCCCCAGAAATGTTGCAAACTTTTGCAACCCGTTCTTGGTTTGCGAGAGGAGAGGGGGGCGGGGAAGGCGGCAGGAGGCTTGACAGCCGGCGGGCTCACCCCCTGGCTTTGATTTTTCTGCAAACAGAGGAGGAAAGCCGCGCTGCCGAAATTAAATACGCTCCCCCAAAATACGGTGAACCGGAGAGTGGGGGCCCGGGAAAGAAACTTTTAAAGCGGCAGTGTCCTTTTAAGAAGGAAAAAGAAAATCTGTTTATGGCTACCTTCCTCCCCTTTTACCTTTTCTCCTCTTGACAGTTTGGGCCCAGGCTGCCGGAGGCGGGCTGCGTTTTTGATCCCCTTAGAGCTGAGGGAGGGCGGGTGGAGTGAGCGACCAGGGAAGCCCCAGGGGTGGAGAGGGGGCGCCCCGGATCTGGGGGCGACGTGAGCACCTTCTCTGGAGCACGGCGGTGGGCTAGGGATTTGGAAGAAGGGCTGGAGGGAGCAGGCTGCGGGCGCGAGAGGTGCTCGCCAAGTTGTCTGGCGGGCGCGGCGAAGGGAGATGCGCAAGTTTGCAGACTGGGGGTTCGAAGCCCGGCGCCAGGGCTGGCGGGGGGCGTGTGCGCGCCAGCGCGCGGAGGGCGGCGGTCCTGTGGGGAGCACCACGCGCATTCGGAGTGAGCGCCTGCAAAAGCAAACAAGCAGTAAAAGAAAGCTCGAAAGGCACCCAAACTTATTTCTGCCCTGGGAATCCTTCCCTCCGTGAGGTTCCAAGCGTTCTGCAAGAAGCCGGGAATGGTCCGTGCAAGTTGAATGCTGGTTGGATAGTGCGAGCTATGTTCCCCCTCCCCTCTACTCCCCTCCCCGGGCGATTTTTACACTTCATTTGGAGGGTGTGGGGGCTCCATTGGCCCTTCCTTGCTTTTTCCTACTTATTGTGGAGTGCTCGGGAAAGCTCACTCTCTCCCTCTTAAAGGTGTCGGGACATGATGTGGGGGTTTTCTTGGGGTTGGAAGAATTATTTATTTGAATGCGCCTGGAGTTTGCAAAGAAGCGGAGGAAGCTATTGCTTTAATTACTGTTGTAAATAATGTATAAATCACGCCTGTCACTCCGGAGGAAGCAGGCTCGCGCGAGCAGCCCAGGGCTGGGGCGGACAGGATCTCCAGTCCCGGCCTGAGCGCGGCCCTGCGCGCCCCCTCCTCTTGCCACTCGGCTTCTACCGGCCTTTGGGGAGCGTTGGGAAGAGACGAGTGGGGACCCTGGGAGCCGCTCCCTTACTCTCAGTGTTAGAGTTGGAGGTAGGAATATGGCTGATCATGTGCTGGCTGTTTTACAGTATTCCCCCCCGCCCCCCCCCCCCCCCCGCCCCAACCCAACCTTGGCCACACCCCCTGTCCGGGCGCTTTTCCATTCACGGAATTCGAGTACAGTAAAAGCCATCAGGATGACACACGCGAAAAACATTTAATTAAAGGCGATTTCCGAAGAGTGAACGCACCGAACCGCCTTGGAGCGGGAGGGTGGGCGCAAACCGGGGTTGGAGCAGGAGGGGTGGGCGCAGCGAGGGCCGCGAGTGAAGGGAGAGGGATCAAGGCTGGGGGCCCGGACCTCAGGCCACCTCGGTGAGTTTGTGTGTGGCAAGCTTTTGGCTGCAAAGAGTATATTTAGACCCTGGGACGGTGGATTTGGAATGCGAGCGGGTTATGTAACAGGGTTAATCAGAAACACTGGAGAAAATCCCCTTCATGTGTTTCTGAGGCTGCTTTATTTTTTTTGGAAGGGGAGATATATTATTTAGGCGGCCACACTAATTTCTGGTTTGAGCTGCTACTCCCCTCAGTCTTAACCCCCCCCCCCCCCCTACATCCCCCCAAGTTTGTTATTAGCATCTTCAGGTGTTATTCTTTCCAGAAGGTGTTCTTGCAAGAGATCAGGGTGGCAGGCTGCAAAACCAACTAGCAAATCCGTAACTTGCTGTTCTTGCAAATTATATAACGCTGGGGCATTCAGTACCACCAGCCCCCTAGGCTCAGCAAAAAGGGGAGAGGGACAAGGAAGAGGTGCAGCTGACCTGCTGACCTGCTGACCTTTGCCCCTACTCCTCTGTGAAGCAACCCCTTGTCCATTCCTCAGGAGATTTCATGAAGGGAGGGAGAGGGGTAAGGCCCAAACACTCAACTCACATCCTGCACGCAGGCACTAGGTTATATAACAGTCTGAATGGAAAAAGGAAGGTCAGAGATGGAGGCATCCTTTAGCTAACACAGCAGTAGTAATAGCTTCCAGAAATGATGTGCATTTGCAGACTCTAACCTCAGACATAGCGCCTGCTTCTCAGGGGTACCAATCTTTGTGTGTGAGCTAGGGCGAAAAAGAGTGAATGTGTAAGTGTGCCTAGTAGTTGAGAGTGGTTTAAAAACGGGAAATGTTTGGGTTTTCAGATGATGTAATGGAGTTGGCAGAATATGCAAGTCGGCTCCCAGAGTGTAAGCAGCAAGAAAATTGGAGCTGGCATCCAGTATTAATGTCGCATAAATTACAATATCAGAAAGAAATTAACCTACAGACTAGGTGATTATGCCTTTATAATACTTAAAACATAAAGGCACACAGCTCAGAGGAAAAGCAAACATTGCCACCTTATAATTAGCATTTTCAGCTTCAAGGGTGGTTGAGTGGAGTTCTTGGCATTGGGTGAAGTGGGAAGCTTTCCGGCTTGGGGGACGCCTTCCTGAGAGGTTGCAGGGTTAGCATCCTCCAGCCAGTGTTTGAAGGCCACAGAGATTGTGGTCTGGAGTCTCATGACATTGAGGTGACCTCATGAGACATTACCTAGGCAGACTTAAAGCTGTTGCTAAATTGCGAACTCCTGGGAATCCATGTGTGAATTGGCTGTGTATGGTTTGTGCCTGAGCTTCCAAAATTCTATGTGTGACTTTGTAATGTGAGGTTTCGACCTCTCTCTTCCCTAAAAACTGGGCAGGGAATGTTAGCAGTTTTCATGAAAACTGCCCCGTTTTCTAGGTGGTGTACATGTTGGCTGGTGTCATGGAGTCCCATCTTGACAAAATGAAAGGGAAAAAAAGAACGGCAAGAAGCAACATGGGAAGTAAGAATGAAGCAGAAAAAACCACAGCGGATCTTTAATTTAACAAGGCTTTTCAGGGGCTTCAGGGAGCCATGAGCATTGTGACATAACTGCTGTTAAAAAAACCTTTTCCAGAATCTCCTTATTATATGCATGCCAGAAGCTTACATATTTTACTTCACTGGAGTTATCCTCACAGCGGGTGGGTGCCACACGGTTGGGTTGGAACACTAGTGCGGAAGGTTGGATGCTTTTAGGGCAGGCCAACCTAAGGGAAAAATCGAAACCAAAAGATGGGATTAACACTGAAAAGCTCAGTTGGGTTGAGATCGAATCCCCTGGAAGCTCAGTTTAAATTGATTTAAAATCAGTTAACAAGGCCTGTAGCCCTGAGGAATTCTAGAACCACACAAGTCTTTGACTTTGAAAGTGTTTTGCCTCCACTCACCCCTTCAGTCTCAGCTGATTCACTTTCTGGTAGGTGCTCTTGCCTAGCAATTTAGACCCCTCTCTAGAGATTGATTCTCAGGTCAACTTTTCTTACATGGACCCAGCTCTCCACAGTGAACAAATGAGGCCTCATAATTTAAAAGAGATGCTGGCTGGGATAAAATCCTTTGCCAGAGGGATAGAATAATTATTTTTTTTAAACCAAGGGACTTTAATTTTCCAGTAAATTGCTCATAAAAACAGTTATAATTACACCCTCTAAAAATGTAATAGAATAATTTTAGAAAATGCATTTGATGATATTTATGATAGCCTTTTTTGTTGCTTCCCCTTATTTCTTAAAAAAAAAAAAATAATTGAATTATTAATCCAGAAGTCAAATCCTCAGCGGCTACAAACATCTATAGCAGACTCTTTTTATATTAGGCACCTGCTGGAATTTCCCCAAACCTCCTGGCATTATGAAGAGCCCCTGGCTTTAGGAAATGTCTCTATTTCTGGTACTGAAATATGGAGCCTGTGTGGGAACCCCTAACCATGAGACCCCTAAGCTCGAGTTTTCCAGGCAGCAGAGGTGCCGGTTCCCTACTAGACTCCTAAATGCGATGCAGGGAGGTCCCAGAATGTTCACAGCAATAGTAGTGCCTCTGGTTGAAAATGTTCTGAGGAGTTTTGGTGACAACTGAATCCCTTTGGGAAGCAAGCCTACCAGAGCTGACCTCTGGAACACTCCGAGACAAGCCCCTGGGACTCCTTGCGCCACACACCTGTCTTAACACTTCTGAGTTAAGATGCGCGCTTTTCTTCCATTTTGGGGAGACAGTTCTCCCATTTTTGCCTTTGGGAAGGTGTGGTGTGATGCCGGAGGACAGACCGAGTTGGGTGTCACAGGGAATTCTGTGGTATGTTCTCTACAGCATCTGCGCTTTACCTGAGTGTACTCTTTCAGTCCCCTCCATCCTTCGAGTCTACTTGACGAGCTGTGCTTCTTAGCTTAAATATGTATACTTCAGTGTCTGTAGAAGCAAAATGCGTAACTACATTTCAGGTGTCTGGGGAGAGGCGTAATGTGACTGCCCGAAATGCCAAAACTTTTTTATAGGAAATGCAGCTCTCCTCATATGATGTTTCCTGCAGCTCACCCTCTTTACCCTCTTTGTCTTCTATGAGCCAACGTGAAGGGACTGTGAGGTAGACATCACACACTGCCTCAAGAAGATTCCTGACCCGTTCACTCCGGATCAGTGATGAGTTTTCCAGAGCAAGAGGGGGCTGCTGTGAAGGCCTTGCCTCTAGGCCTCTACCTAAAATCTGGAATGCCCTTGTGAATATGAAGACTGTCTTCCTTGCTGGGAATCTAGGATCTCTCTCTCTCTCTCTCTCTCTCTCTCTCTCTCTCTCTCTCTCTCTCTCATCATTTAAATTTTTTTTTTCTTCTACATGGTGGGAAGTGTTAGTTTGGAAATGAGCTGTTAAATTTTTCACCCATCTTATTAAGCTTTATGTTAAGAAAAATAAAATTGAGTCATTTTGAATTCATGCCTCAAAAAAAGCCCTCAGATAATCAGTGTTCGAGTGTTGATCAATATTCAGTAAACCATGATTTTTCTATACGGGCACCAAGATATTACTGATGATTTTTTTTTTTTTTTTTTTTTTTTACAAACAGATTAACCAGAAATGTTTTGGTCTTTTTCTTATTGAATATAGTTTTTAAATATGCAGATCCCATTTTCTACCCTAAAAAGAACATTGAGGATATAACCGAATCTTTCTCTGAGGTTTAAGGATCTTATGGTGCCACAGGGCCACTGTTCAGAGGATGAATTCTCATTGTACAGTGTGTAGAAACTGTAAGTAGGGATGGAATCTGAGATTGGACTAGATCTGTCCTGACTCCATATTGAAAATTGTATTTTTTTAAAATCTTTGATAGCAGTATGTTTTGTTATTTGTCTCTCTTATTCTCCAGGTTGCAAGAAGCAAAATAGAAATTCAGTTCAATTATTTGGTTCTGATTAATTGAGGTTTTTATTTTATGGGAAAATGTCAACCCAAGTCTGGAGCCATGATTTTTTCTCTAGAGTTGTAGAGGATGTAAAATCATTCTCAGATATTCAGGAAGGCTATTGTGGTCACAAAGAAGTTATGCACTGTAACATAGTAGCATTTTGTAATTACTCCCCTGTATGACTGTAGATAGAAATGCCAACTAATGTTGCCATTTGCTCAGATATGTTCAAGGTGTGTCTTTGGTAAAGGGTTCATAAATCTGGAAGAATAGGAAACTCCAGGGTTAGAGGGAAGACTTTTAAGAATATCAATAAAGAGCACTGAGATTCCCCCCAAAGGAACTCTTTTTCTGAGCCGAGGCCTTTGCTACCTGCAGGAGCATCCCTGGGACCACACCAGCAGAGGTGGGCTTTCCCAGGGCCGTCCCACTTGAGCTTCATGAGGAAGTTCCTAGGTCCAGACCGTAATAGATGAAACTCTTTGGGAGTACAAGGAAGGGTGCCACTTAGTCTGGGGCCCAACTTAATGATAGTCTGCAGTTACCTTTTGATACCTTAGATGTCACAGTGTTGGGAATTCAGCTTGGGGGAGACTTGCTGTGCTTTTGTGACATCCCAATTACTTATTTATTTTTTGCTTTTGTAGTAAAAGCACCCAGGAGATTTTCTAAAGACATCCTGAGAAGCAGGGGGCGCGGCATGATGAGGAGTCCCCGTGTGCCAGAGCCATGGGTTAGGCAGGCTCACTTGGTGCTCCGGTTTTTGCACGCTAATGTTAACAGGAATTATAGGTAACAATTCCCTTGAGCCGATGGAAGAGTTTTTCCACCCCCACCTGATGTTAATGGCCTTAACTGACGCGTCATTATTGCAAACTGTCTTATCACATTATGTGCTGTGGCACATGGACAACGCGGGGCGCTGTGGTTTCCTGGTGATTATCTTGTCCACAGAGCCGAGGCCCTGGTGGCCAGCTGGGGAGCCCTTTGCAGTGTCCCCCTGACAGCAGAGAGTGCAGGTGTCCCACATCTGGAAAGGGCTGAAGGACTCCAGGCCGTCCTGGGTCGTGGCTGTCCCAGGGCGGTGTTCTCTGAAGCCCAGTCAGCCTTACGTCATCTCTAATAGTGGGATTGGGCATTTGAGGGTTGATGATGAACTATCTGAAAGGTTTTTTTGAAATCAGGAAGTTCCTAGGTCCAGACCATAATAGATGAAACTCTTTGGGGTACAAGGAAGGGTGCCACTTAGTCTGGGACCCTCAAGCCTGTGAAAGAGGTAGCACACTGTTAAAAATGCCTGGCTTGCTTTGGGGGAGAATTTGGCTGAATACTGATGAAGTTTATGAAATATAAATGCAGCGAAGTTGCTGTACGTTAAGTGGTAGGCGTGTGTGAAAGGAGTAAGAAGAAATAAAATTGTGTATAAACGACACTCTGAAACTTGATGGAATTGTATACGTGATAAGAATGGCGACATTTGGGTCTGTGGTTAATGGGGGAAAATAAGCCGGCTTAAAATCTACATGTCAAACTAGATGTGGGAATAAAAACTACAGGGTCTGAAATCACTTGACTTACTTTATAAGCAAAGAATGCCACCAAGGATAAATAAATAGGCAGGTTATGAAGAATAGAGGTGAAAACAGAAGGGGGGTTTGGGGGGAGTAATGAGGGACCGACACTTAAATTTATAATGAGGTGTGGTAATCACTGTTTTAGATAATCCAGAACATTAATTGTGCTGCTAGGTAGAGAATTAGTTATAGCAAAACAAAAGGTATAAATATGAATTTTAGGTTGTGTTGGGAGAAATCCTTTTGATCCCTAAAGTATAACTGCATGTACTGAGAAGCAGAGCTGCACACGATGTAATTTTTTCTGTCTTATCCTGATTAATTGACAGCCACTGTATGCCTCCTTCCTGAAGGTGACTTTACAATCTCCAGACACAGACATTTCTCTCAGAAGTGGAGTGAAGGAAGGAGAACCACAAGCTAAAGTGTGTTTCGCTGGGTGAAGTATTTTGGGGAAAAGATAAGCATGGTGAAATAAGGGAATGGAGCAGTGCATACAGAAATTCAGAATGCCTGTCTGGGGCTGGGGAGGGGGGAGGCTGTGAATGAAGGAAGGGGATCTTTAGAGGGAAAAGAGCCTTCCGTGCAAAAAAGAAAATGAAATTAGAATTGACTCTGAAATGGCTGGGAATGTGCCTTTCTAATTTTAAATTATCTTTAACAAGGGCAATGGAAAGAGGGAAAGTTGGCACTTTGAGAAGTTGTGATGAACTTGTCGAGAATGCCAATTGACAAAGGCAGGTAAGGGAATACTTGGGAAAACAGAACCGGACGAGGGCTGAAGGGCACGGTGATCTGCTTCCCAGTGTGTGAAAGAAATCAGCATGTTTATTGACTCTTCCAAATAGTTTTAAAGAAACCTGAAGAAATGGACCCAGACAGAGAAAAGACAGTCAGATGTGAGTCTGCCCTCCAGAAGCAAAGAGGCTTCCATCATCCCATACGATCGATGCCAGTCATGGGGAAGGAGCCACTGTATAGAAGTGAATGGATTTTCAACATACAGATCACAGAAGACACAAGATATATTTAGCAAGTGTAAAAACTCTTCAGTAAACTGCCTTGCTTTTCGTTTTCACTGCACAGTAATAAACCCAGCACATGGTAAAAAGGCCACAGTAACCATATAGCATGTAGTCCTAGGAACATTTGTGTGATGGGGCCATGATGTCTGGAAGGACAGGGCAACAGGGAGAGTGAACTGCCCAGAACTCCCACTTGTCCAGGTAATGAAGCATTGGGAAAGCAGAGGCAAATGAAATACTCCGATAATCAAAAATGATTCCTCTTTTGGTGACCGTGTTAGTTGACAGGTGGTGACAAGTGAGAAATTGCCAGAGGTGTGTGTTACCATTTCTGGCGCTCACAGACCACTTCTGATGAACACGGTTATGCAGAGAGTGGGCAGTTTCTATAGGCCGGGCTGTCCGCCCAGAAGATGTAAACCTTCACAGTGTAAAGGATGAAGGTTGACCATCAGGGAGGTTCTGCAACTTCCTTGAGGCCCCGCAGAGGATCAGGGAGGAAGCTGATGCTACTTGGAAAGGGCTCTTGAAATTTCTCATCTGGAGCTTGGGGGTATAAGTTAGATTTGTAGTGCTTACTCTATCTATATGATAATAGATAATAGACAGAGATTGATACAGAAATACGGTGCTGCCACTTCTCATGTTTTATTAGAATAAAGCCTGTCAGAGCCAGAAGGGGTCTATGAATCATCTGGCCTAGCCCCTTGTCTAAACCGATACCCAGAGATCTAATTGTGTGAACTCCCGTTCCTAGTACGCAGAGAGGCTGTGCCTGCAACAGTAGTCTTCTGCTTCCTTACCTAATAATTAGTTCCTTCCACTTTTGTGCTGTGCCAGGATGCTCAAGTTCCAATAAGCTACACCATCAAGTTCCCGTCTCCCAGGGAAGGCCCCCGAGGATACTAAGATGAACAGGAGTTAATCCAGCATTAGGTAGTGGATATCTATGAAAGTCAGCGCAAGGTGTTTTGGCTGTTCATCAATAGTGGAGCATTGTCAGTAATTGTTAGTTTTTAAAGTCCCACTGGTCATTTTTATTTTTAATTAAGAATTAGCCAGGGAGCTTGTGGCTGTGTCAGTAAAGCCATTCTAAAGCATAAAAATAGTGCCTGCACGTCACGGTCTGGCTTAGTGGAGAGTAAAGGACAGGATATGGAGCTGAGCATCTTGTACTCAGGGCTTGTGGGAGCTAGACGCAGCTGGGAGGGGTCGGGGGAGGGCGGTGGCGGGGATGGATCTCAGCAGCAGTCCTCCTGCAAGGCAGCCAGTTTAAGGTTGTGCCTTTTATGAGATGTCAAGAGCAAGTCTGCAAATGGAATACTACACAGCCAGTGAAAATCATATTGTACTAGAAAAATATTTCTTAACTGGGGGAAATGTTTATGATCTATTGCTTAGTGAAAAATCACAGCTTCCGTAGTGTTGTGCACAGAATGGTATCCTCTTTGTGAAAACTATAGTGTGTGTATGTGTATATGTGTGTGTATGTGTATATGTATGTGTATTTATATGTGTATATGTGTGCATGTAGACACATGCGCACATATACACATATTAACATATGGAACCACATATACCTAAATGATAAAGTTATAAAGTGGTCATCTCTGGATGGTGGGATCATTTACAAGTTTCTTTTCCTTTGTGCTCTTCTGTATTTCATTGTTTCCTGCAGTATGCATGTATTATTTTTGTAACTAGAAAAAAATAAATTTTTATTTCAAAATAACATTGTTTGTGTGTTGTAAAACTGGGGATACCTCGAAGGAACTGATTCTGAAGTTATCATGTTGCATGGAATTTTTTGACGTTTCAGGGTGGACCAAGCTTATTGGCCTGAAGAGTATTACCTCTGATGATCACCCTCAGCCAGGGAGACAGGGTCATTCAGCTGGAATGTGAAAAGGAGTGCCCCCAAATTGGAATTTCTTGCCCCTCTAGGGCATTGTCTTCAGGTGTTTATACTGTGACTGACTAAGGAAATATACTGCATTGTGAGCCATTGCGCGCGTACACACACACGAAATAGTTTTCACAGAAAATATTTAAGCTTTACTTGTGATACACTATAATTTTTGTTGTATTATTTAAAGACAAAATATAAGTCACAGCCACCAACCTTATTTCTTATGATCTGTTTTGGGGCTGCTCCTGCAGTTTGAAAAACCCTGTCGTGGGCATGAGGTAGAAGCCACCTTTCTGCAGAGCATGGCCCTGTGGTGGGAGGGCGGGGGGTGAGAGAGGGTTTCCACAATAACTGATGTTGAACCCTAGGTGTTCCACATTATGATTTCAGGGAGGGAGTGGGGCAGGGAAAACAATGTAAATACTTATTTGTAATCATACGTTATCTTTATGCCACTTTTAGCACAGGTTCATTAATATACTATTACATGTAGGCATGATTCTGCGTAGACTAGCTTAGAATGTAAATTCTGGGATCCCCTTTGCCTAGAGTTAAAGTCATTGTGTAAAAGCAAGAGATGGCATTCTTTCATTCAACAAATATTTGTTGAGCACCTTCTATGTGCCAGGCAGTGTGCTAGTCTCTGGGGATAAAGCAGCAAACAGGAGAGGTCAGAGCCCTGCCTTCCTGGATCTTACATTCTAGTGGTGTTGTTTCTCAATGTAGCCCACTGTCTGGGATGCTTCTGATGGTTATCCTCTAAGTGTATCTTGGCATGGCCTTTTTCACCCCTCTTCCTTCTGTGTGACTTAATTCTGTCCTCCTTCCCTCCCCCACCCACTCTCTCTTGTTTGTCATGTCCCAATTTCTCTTTGCTTATTTAAATTCTACAATCATTTTAGCTCTAGATAGGATGCATTCTCATCCTTCTGCAGTTCCCATGACCCTTTCTTTTACAGTAGTCAGTCTGTGGGCCTTGCTCATTCAATCAACATGTAACCTCCTCTTTTGCCAGGTTCCTTTGCGTTGTCTTATAGCATTCTTTCCTGGGTAGGAGTATAGTCACCCCCAGGAAACCAGCACCGGGAAGTACTCTCTCACTCCTGCACAGTGCCTTGCAGAAAGTAGGTGCTCATTAGCTGTGCAGATAATCTCTCCCACATTGCTCTGCAAGGCTGTTTGCTTCCTCAGTAGATTCAGCTCTACACTTCCAACTCTGCAAACACAGCTTCTACCTGCTTATTCTTCTAACTGGGCCTAGGGTTTGGACCCATCTGCCCTTGTTCATCCCCCTTCTGTTTGCCTTGGATCCATCATGCCTCCTCTCAATGGCAGGTTCAGGCCTGTTCCAGGCTTGAGCACTAAGACCAAAGCTGGATGTATTGGGAGACAGCATGCATGGTTGTTACAAACCTGCCGTGAGTGAGACAGACCTAGGCCAGAGGCCCAGGTGTACTGTGTGACCTTATGTAAGGTCATTAACCACTCAGTCTATTTCTTTCAACACCTGGAAATTGGGGATGATGGTAGTGCTGACTTTCCCAAGGTGGGTGAGAGAATCCCAGGATTCTGCATGTTGCCTCCCCTGGCAGGATGCCTAATACACATCAAGTGTGGCTCCAGTGACAGTGTTGATGATGGAGCATGTGATGGTGATGATGGAGCACATGGTGGTGATGATGGAGCACGTGGTGGCGATGATGGAGCACATGGTGGTGCTGATGAAGCACATGGTGGAACATATGACTAGGTCTTCAGCTCTCTTTGCTTAGAGCATTCTTCCTTGGTTTCTACTGGTTGCTCTGTGAAATAAGCAGGAGTTCCAGCACTTCAAAGTCCTAAATCCTTTCCTTTCCTGCCAGTTTCCTTTCCTGGACTGCATCCTGCTGTAGTCCCTCAACTCAGCTGCCACAGGATGGATCCTGCCAAGTGAGGACAGACGCTTAAGTTCAACCTTATCAGCCACTTGTTGACTTCCCTGAGGTTATACCCCATCCCTGAGATAGAGGAGGGCCCATGTCTGGCTGCCACCTTCCATCCTGCCCCCACTACTCCTGTGGTACCCACTGTCTGCCCCCTTTAGCCACTGTGGCTGGGGGAGCTCTCTCCACTGTGCTGCTATGTTCTCTCACACCTCATTTTGCAGCAGCCCATCATTCCTCACCCTCCCTACCCTTGTACTCACTTTCTCCTTGCTGCCAAAAAAATCATGTTGAAGAAGCTTGTCTGCAAGGGTTCCATTCAACTTGTTCTACATTAATGCTCCACTATGGTGACCCACTGCTGAGCCTTTCACTTGTAATGTAATCTAATAATTTACATGCACTTTGCAAGTAATACTCTCAGAGTCTCACAACCTGCTTGAAATTGCTCTGCTGTTACAGAATTTGAGCTGATGAGAGAGCAGCATGAGAAAGAGTAGTTATTGGTACACAATGGTATTGGGTAAACCCAGGAAAATAATGCTAGCACAAGGTAAGGGTGTGCTGATGGGTTATTATATCCTTTCTTAGAGAACTTGCTAAGGCTCTTTTATTGATTTTAGCTTGTAATTAGCCTAGGATAGGTCAAAGTATAGTAGGGGTGGAAGCATAGCAAGCTAGAAGAAGTGAACCAAGAGTTGAATCCTGTCTTTGTGGGCTGCTGGGAAATGCTTTAGTTTTGATATACTACATGACTTTTATAGAACTAATTGGCACTGTGATTGGGTTTTATTTCTGCACTCAAACATGTTGGAAGCTGATTCAAATATGCAGTAGTAATGAAAATAGAGTAACGCTGTAATAATAGTGCCATTGTAAAGTGAATTACACCATTAAGCATCTATTTTGTCTAATTTGTATTGTGATAGTGTGGATGATACACACACACACACACACACACACACACACAGACTTAGAGTGGCTGGTCTTAAGAAACAGACTCTTGCTGAGAAACCCTTGTAATACTGAATAGTCAGTCAATGAAAATAAGCCCTTGTTCCATGAAAAAGTGAATTTGTATATATTTAAATATAAATGTGTATACACATATGCATATACGTACACACATATACATGTAGTTACACATATAGACATAGGTACATACGCATATTCAGGTAGGTCAAGGAGAAGATATAATACTGTACCATAAAAATACTGGCCTTGTGGTGCCTTTTAATAGTTTGGCGAGTCTGCAGGGGACAGCTATCAGTTATGCCAGGCTAAGGCAGAAATACCATCAAGGCTAAGGTTGAAAAACAAGGCTTTTGTGTATTTGTTTCAACCTTTTCATCCTCATTACCATGTCTGAGAACTTCTAGTAATTGATATTTCTTAAGTTTAGAAAGAAGGACTAAAGGCCAAGAACTTCTTTCACAATAGAAAGATAGAGGCATTTTTTTTTTAAGCCAGAGGTTATAAGCTAACCCTCAAGCAGAAACAGAATTTGAGAAGACAGCAACAAATGGGGCCACTCCCCCAGTGAGATCTATAAATTCAGAATTCTGAGATAGTATTACATTTTGTCTTGGTTCCAGTGACTTTATCCCTTCACCACCACCACCCCCCTGCCCGGAATGCCTGACATCAGGGGGTCATTTAGCAGTAATTGTCCCCGAGTTTCCAACCATTATGGTGGTATCTCCAGGGAGATCCTGAAGGCTTACCTGGTTCACCTCCAATCTGGATTGATGCCTTCAAGACTCCATGTTTTCCTGCAGGGCCATCCAAAAGGGATTTTACTGGGAGCTTCCATCTCTTACTTGCTGTCATTCCAGGATTTTGCCTCTGTAGCTTTGTCAACACCACCACTTGGTAACCCAGAACCACAGAAAGACCTTGATTAAGAAGTTGAGATTTTATGTAGTTTAGAATATATTTAACATATATATATATATATATATATATATATATATATATATATATATATATTGCTTGCTCTGATGACCAAACTATTGAAATAAATTTGCTTCACACACCACTATGCACTCCCCTTATCTCAGCACAACAAGGTTGATTTTATTTTTTTAAATATTTGCATTTATTTCAGAGAGAAAGGGAGGGGAGAGAGAGAGAAACATCAATGATGAGAGGGACTCATTGATTGGCTGCCTCCTGCATGCCCCCTACTGGGGATTGAGCCCGTAACCCAGGCATGTGTCCTTGACTGGAATTGAACCTGGGACCCTTCAGTCCCCAGGCCAACGCTCTATCCACTGAGCCAAACCAGCTAGGGCAAAAAGGTTGATTTTAAACTCTATGAACATTTGAGGGGAGAGTACACAGCATCAATCAATGCCTGGCCTCTGGATTAAGAATATATTTAGTGGAGAAATTTTATTACAAACCTCAATGAAAAGTATCAATATCGTATTGTGTCTAATAAAATATTTTAATGAAAATTGGCATGGTGTTTGACAACATCCCTTTATTAATTGTTCTTTCCCATTATTATTTTCTTAGTAGCAAACACACTCTGGTTTTATCACTCAGTTATAGTCCTTATTTAAGTCACATTTTGCTGCTTCAGCTGTGTTTATCTTCTTACTGGTCTCAGGTCCTTCAGGGCAGTGTTGTAGATTGTCTTGGGTCTTCTATCCCATATCCCTGTCTCTTACTTTAGCATTCAGTGAATGCCCTTGGGATGCTAATGATGGTGCAGTTTGGAACCAATATATGAAAAACCAGCCAGCTGAGGGGAAAATGGGATGAGGCAAGAAAATCTAATATTCATTGAAAGTTTCAGATGTTCAAAGGTGATGCTGTACATTGCCTCCTTTCATTGATCCATCAAATATTTATTGAGCACTTACTATGCGCCAGGTCCCTTGTTCAACGGAGGTA